CGGGGAAGAGTTGAATAGCTTGAAAGAGGAAGACGCTTTTAAACCACAGCTCATGCACACGGGAACACACGGAAATCAGCAACATCAGGCATAAGCTGCTTTCTGAAGATGATGGGTTTGGATGCAAGAACAAGGAAATGCGTGTGCAGCCTGCAATGAAAAATGCTCCATTCAGCTTCTCTTTTAACCCTCGCTGTGACTTTGCAGTGTAAATAAGAAGTAGGTTGCTACTTGCCAGTGAAAAATTGACAAAAATCAGCCTCAATATGTGTCCTCCTTAACTAGCTCCCCTGCACACCCAGCCACAGTGGAAAAGGAAATCTTTCTTTCAGGAGCTATTAGAAAAACATTCAGATTTTCTTGCCTAGAAAGGGAATCTGTGGAAAGAGTCTTTCTGTCATTATCCACAGGAGCATCCAAACCTGTCTGTAGGAGTGAGAAATGGAAGTGTGCTGAAGTTCCAGCATACATTGTCTCTTAATTCAGCTCATAATTTCCAGTAGAGCAATTTTCAGCCTTTGAATGCATTCCAGGTTGCTTCCCCAAGTCTTGAATCTCCTATACAGTGTGCAGGAGGTCTTGTTATCATTAGCCGCAGTGTTTATCCACTCCTAGATAAATTTATCCAAGAAGTAAAAGCGCTTGAGGAAGAGGACCAAAGAGAGGGAAGAAATACTGCACATCTAATGAAACTAATCCATCATGCCCTGCTCTGTAAGTGAGCTGGCACTGAGTCAGATAACAGAAATTAAATAAAAATGCACATAAAACATCGCTAGGAGACTGAGTGCGATGATAGCTGGAACAGCAGCATTACGCAGTGCTGTATTGCGATGTTTTTACCTTCTAAAGTCAGCCAATAAAAGCATCATTGGGGAATAAGAGGAGAATGTTAAATCAAAGGCCTGAAAGCTGAACAGGTTTAATAAAATGTGTATTCACATTAACCACTGACTTAAAGGTGAAACCCTGCTCTTGAATATGCCTGACAGACCACTTTTTTACTGCTTTGCCAATGCGTATCACTCCTGACCTGGAAAGATATGAAACTGGTCCTGGCTTGATAGCTCTATCAGAGCTTACCTTGCTGCAAGTGCTGAGGAGACACCTTCGTCCCCTTCCTTCATCTTCATCACGTAAACAGCTAGAAAGGCTGGACTGAGGCCTCCGCCCTTTCCTCCCTGGAATTACCAACTGGTAAACTCTTTCCAGCCATAGGAAAACATACGTGCTACTCAGACTTGACCCCCAGAGGAAAAGGGTTCACGAGCAACACCCTCAGCCTGGCACCTGACCTTAGCTCTGCAGGCTGGTGATGCTCTAAGCCAGTCAGGTGTTGCCACCAGCAAGAGGTTGGTGCGTCCCAGCTGTGCTGCACAGACGTACTGGAGCCGGTTTAGCCAAGCCGGCAGAGAGTCGGAGCAACCTGCCTGCAGCAGCGCTGCTCCATTCCAGCTCATTCATCCTGTTACAATAAGAGACAGGAAACATCTCTTTTGAGCTACAGTCCAATTACTCTCCAAATAAAGCTGCCCCAACAGGCTCTCAAGCCCAGCAAAGCACTTGACGGCTCCTATCTGATGCTCTTACGTCAGCAACCTGCACTTAATAATGAACAACTACTGATGCCCTTTTCCTGATATTCTTTCCTGAGCAGCAGACTTCCACTTCACTTACTCCTGCTAACCACCAGGCCACCACGCTCCCACAGTTCAAGATGTGAACCTGTCAGCTTCTGAACACGCTGAGGGAGTTATAACCCAAAGCTTGTGCATCTCCCTGGCATATGAGAAAGACATAAGCAGCTGGTATCACCCCTGATTAAAATAGCATCACAAAATGTATCCTGTCCTCCCCTTCAAGGATACAATTAAAAAGCTATCTCAGATACATCAGCTCTTGCCAGTCACCACCCACCTCCACACCTCCTACTCCTTGGTCAGATCACCACAAAAATAGCCAAAATCTATCAGGCCAAGCTCACCTACCAGAAGCTAATATCCAAACCTGGAGTGATGGAGCCAAGGCAGGACTCCGAGCTAAGACAGCAGACGGGGACGGGTGATCAGCACCAGTCAATCGGTAGAGAACAAGCATCTGTTCCTGCTCTCGTGGGCTACCGGCAGCACTGAGAGTCGTCTCTCCCCAACAGAGCAAGACAAAGGTGGAGTAACAAGTCCCCCCAGCCTAATGAGCAGCGTTGGGAGAACTGACCTGAATGGAAAAGAGTTTAGGCCATGATCCATACTAGTCTGTATTTCCTACTGAAGAGCAGAGAGACCCTCCCACTCCAAGAAGCTGTGGGTCTGCAGACACTCTGCCACCTTTGCGTTATGCATAAAGATCAGGAACGACCCTTACAGCTCAGAGGCCTCTAGGATATTTGCAGCAGCTTCTCTGCCTATGACACCTGGACCCCAAACGGCCTGCTAATGTGTGAGCCTGGCCGGGGTCAGATGTTTAATGACTCTGAACGAGTCATTTACAAATCTTGTGTCATTCAGGGAGATGGCATAACTGTGCCACTGCCAGAGTGCAGTAAGTCAGGGTCACAAACGTTGACAGGCTTTTGCACAGGGGATTTTATTCAAAATGCAGATTGCAAATAAATTCAGAAGCAGACACAGCAAGACTTCCATGGAAACAGCGCAAAAACCCAGCTGTGGTTTGGATGACTGTGAGTCTTGGCAGTCTTGACTAATCCCTTAAGTGCCATCCAATTACTGCAAATGTGTTTGGCATCTACTATAGCAATTGCAAAGAATTAAATGGTCGGATGGCACTCATTGGAAATTACAAGACACAGAACCCTGTAATGCATTTAAGAAAAAAACATCTAAAAAGGAAAACAACATTACCCACTGCAAGAGCTGACCTTCTTGAAAGCCATAAGGGACAACAAAAGGGATCCAAGTAATGAGGGAAACTTAATTCAGAGAAGAAACTAGAAAAAAAGGAGAGAAAGAGGAAGAATAACAAGATTGGCTGAAGGAGCTGGGTTTGTTTAGCTTTGAGAAGAGGAAACTCTCCTTGCAACTCCTTATTCTTAGCACAATTTCTACAATTGACACTCCTTCCCTTAGGAAAGTAATCAAAAAACTGCAAACAGCTTTTCTGTGCCCAGACTTACCAACTACGATCTGACTATAGAGATCTCCAGGTGCTTCAGAACAGGTAGGACTTCAGTGTGAAATGGAGGTCTGGGAGGGAGGGTGGGCAGCAAGACCACAACTGCTGGTATACTGCAGTCCTTTCACTGACAGCTGCCCCGCACCACGTGTCACTCGGTGCAAGGCCTGTCTACAGCAGTGGAAAAAGCAGACAACATATTTCCCTCCCCTAAGCAAAGCCAACGTGCCCTGAAACTTAAAAATAAATGAATAAGTGAATAAAAAATGAACCTTTGAAAAAGTGTCTTCCTTATAAAGCCACCACCTCAGTCAATACCGTGCACAGCTGCTCCAAAGGAGCAGCTCTCTTGCCTGAAGCTCTTCAAAGGGATTCTCTCTCTCAGCCCAGCACATTCTGCTTTCCATGTACTTAATTCCTCATAAAGCTCCTTCCACACAGGGACATGCGAAGAAGAACAACTTTGTAACAGCTCTGCCAAAATCCGGACTAAGGGATGGAGAGTAGCCCCAGAGATTTGCTATGCCACCCGGGAAAGGGTACAGCAAAATGCTCAAACCACCTTCAGCCAACAAGTGCAATGCACAGTCAGGCTTCTCTTGCAAGAATTTATTTTCAAAGAAGATGCAATTAAGAACACTACAAAAAAGGATTTACACAAAGGGGGGTGACAATAAAGCCATTCAGACCAGGCAAAGCACATTTCTTTCCGAACAGTACAGAGCTGTTATGACAAAAAACCTGACACAGGTGGTTCTTTGGTTCAGGCAATAATTTCCTTTCCGAGCTCTCACCTGGGAAGTCTCATTTCCTCAATCCCCGGCACTTGTGAGCAGATTTGGAGTGACTCACTCTCTGCATGCAGCTCCAAGGAACTCTACAACAAGCCGGTGGGGAGAGAGAAAGGAATTCAAGCCAGAAGAATGGCTGCAGCTGCTGATGGCGCTGGATGACAGCACGAGATCTCTGCACCTCTCTCCTGTACTGTTGAAAGTCACACAAGGCCCCTATATTCCTCAAACAGTATCTTGCTGTGGTACCTCTTACTTTTGTCCTAAGCAGGTAGGCCAGTGTGCTTTAGCGCCTTTAACTTCTGGCTCTTTGGCAGCCAAATTTAGAGCTAGGACACACCCAGGGCTGTACAGCCTGCAGGATGCCCGCCCCATCATGAAGGTGATCTCTGTAACAGCCTCCAAGAGATGTATTAATAGCAGTACCTGGGTACCAGACAGGAATTTTACAAGGAAATGTCAATGAAGGCCACAGTTTGCTTGTTAGCTTTAGTTTTCCATCGGGCAATATTGGTTAAGCCAAAGGAGACAGGAACTGTTTTGCCTTCTGAAGGTCTGAATGAAAATCTGTGTTCAATCTACTGCTGTGTGTAAACACACATTAGATTTGTGGGGTTTATGGTTAGCCAAACACGACAGAAATAAAAAAACTACACAATTAGGGACAGAGAAAGCCAAAGAGAGGAATAGTACCAAGTGTCTGTACTCATCCTTCTTTAAAAACAGTGAGTACCTGAGGGCTCCCGAGAACATTTCATTGCTCAAGGAAGAAAACACCTGGTACTGGCTAAAGCCAGCCGCAGGGTTCGGCTAGGCACCTTCTTTCCCCAAAGCCTATAAATTGCAATTACTGATAATCCGCAGCTGATAAACTGCGATCACTCATGATTCACCCTACTTTCTGTCACACATCCAGCAGGGTGAATGGCAACACCGCTGTGGTCGACTCCGCAGCTCACTGCTTGGCTCTGCCCTCGATTCAAACACGGCTGCTTTGGAAGAGGTGTGGTGAACCATGCCAACTTGGGGAAGTATCTCCTGATACAGGAGTCGTCAGTCTGAACTGGCAATGAGGCCCATGATACAAGTTTTTATTTGTGACCAAATCAGGACTTGAAAGCAACTGAAAATGGAAAATCAGAAATAAGATTGTGAGGTACAAAAAAACTAATCACCACACACACACGCTTCTGATTCCAAGAACCAGAGACATCAAGGGACATACTTTACTGTATTAAAATGCACAAATTTGTGTATATATATACATATATCTGTATATACATGTATGTGTAAAATGCTTGTGTCTCCATTTTCATTAGCAATAGCAGGATGGGAAGCTTCCCCTAATTAATTTCTATTTCAATCTATTCTGGAGCTACTCAGTACTAAAACCAATTTAAAAACCACTCAGCATCACAGCAACTAAGACTGCAATCCAATACATAAATCTAACAGGCTCCAAGATGAATTTTCCTAGCATATCTACATTAAAGCAAAATTTCTTATGGGGAGTCTAGTTTATCAATACCAGGCAGTCCCTCTATGACAAACAGTCAGTTCAAATTAAACAAGCAGGCAACTGGATTGCCCAAAAAAGCTGGGCCCCTGTGGTCAAAACAGCAGTTTGGGAGAGTCCCAAGATCCGGAGTGCCATAGCTCTACCAGGGAATATGAATTGTTTTGCATCTTAGCCAGACTTTGACTCTGCTGTTTCCAAAAAGCCGGTGAAAGAATACAGAGCTTCCTGCTTTGGCCAGCTTAGTCTTCAGGAAGTATCTTCTTGCTCCATCATAGTTTTATAGTTTCTTTTGAAAAAGCCACACTGGGGAAAAAAATAAAAGAACTTATTAGGTCTTTTTGTATGCATTAATTTTTGCTTTTTCTTAAAACAATTTAAAAAGTTTTTCCTTGTCAGGGTTGCAATAAGTGAATGCGGGATGCAACGAGGTATGACTTCTGGCAGAGCTGTAAGCCTGAAGACCCTCGTTGTTCAAAACTTTTCAGAACATCTATGAACACTTCATAATGTTCAAATGTTCTGCAAAGCACTTCAAAACAGGACTTCAGAGGTTATACTGCAATGCTCAGAATAGCTCAAAATGCGAGACTCGGGTTTTACAACAGTAAGCGGCAAATGTCCTTCCGTGCACATTTGAAAAAAAGCGCTTTCATACTTAGAGAAATCTTTAAAAAACGTTAAAACATGTAACAAAAAGATTTGTTTTGTTGTGTGCGCATTAACGATACCCACTTTCCAGAGGAGCAGAATAATGAACGCCAGCAAAAGAAGTCCACCAAGACAGCTTCCTATGATAACAGGCAAGGGATCAAACACTTCGTCTTTCAGGAAGACAAGAGTAATCTGGAACAGAATCAAGGCCAGTTATTTTTTTCTTGGTTAGCTTTTAACTGAGAAAGCTATGCAGTTTGAGCTAGCATTCAACCTCTGAACTGTGCTAGATCACGCATCAATCTAACTGTGCAGGTACTTTGCAATACAATATGAAATCATTTTTTGTATCGCAAGCCTAGTCAAGGGAGTTAAATTTACTGAGTCTTCTTTAGGACTTTACAGTGATTACAACAGTCACCAGTGACAATCTTTCAGGTTAAAAAGCATGTCTTCACTAGGGGAAGAGAAGGAATATTCATGTTGAAATCCCTGAGGGGACAGGAGGTCTCTGTGATAGCCACAAGTGTCGGATCATACACAGAGTTCAATACAGAACACTCAAAGCTTTTCTGAGGTGCACTAGCAAATACCCTCCCTCTGCTTTTATCCTGTAGTCAAAACCTGATTTCACTAAATTCAATGGCAGAACAGACGTTTGCTTCAAAAGGTCCAGGATTTAACTCTGG